GAAATTGCTGTTTCCAATGCATGTGGCCCTTCTCTCCTTCTCTCCCTCCGCCCTCCCCTCTCTCCCTCTGCCCTCCCCTCTCTCCCTCCCCACCCTCCCCTCTCTCCCTCCCCCCTCTCCCCCTCTGCCTTCTCCTCTTCTCGTCCTCTCCCCCTCCTTTTCCTCCTCTCTTTATTGATGGTAGCAGCTTTATATATTGAGAACATTCAGTACATTCTCATTGGCAAGTTTAACAATAATAGGGATTCTGGGATTGGCGTGTATTTTTTGGTTTTGATTCCTACTTTCCTTTCACACTGTTTTCTTTTCTTAGGAACTTGTAAAAGTTCATCGGAACTTAATGCAAGAGATTCATGATTCCATTGTAAATAAAAATGACCAGAATTTGTATCAAGTTTTTATTAACTACAAGGAAAGGTAACTTTGGAATTTAAAATATTGTGGGTGCTAGTTTGTAATTATAGCAAGGGTTAGTATTAAAATGGCTGATCGATAGCTATTACAACTGTTCGTTACAGTACTATGTGAGCAGTAATTAGAACATGGAAGAGTTAATCTCAGGGTAGTAGTTTGAGCTCTATATGCATATTAAAAGAGAAAGGGCAGGGGGAAGGAAAGGACCTAGTATAGTGCCGAGACTTCAACATTGCAGTTTAAAAGGCTGAAGTTCTGTCATAGATCTCATCATTAGTGAGTAACGTAACCTTAAGTCATTTTAACTCTCCAAGACTCTTTCCCCATCTGTAAATGTTGGGGGTAGATTAGCTGGTGCCTAATGCTTCTTCCAACTCTAATATTTTATGATTCTCTATTCTGGAATATTAGATTCACAGTCAAAGTCACTTTTCCTTTCTAAGTCTGGGAAAAAAAATCTCCTGAGCAAGTCATATAAATTGGAGTATCAAGAAATTTTGCTTAAAATGTCCATCTTTCTCTTTTTAAATTAAGCAATGTAGTTCCTGTTACTAAGAAGTGGCTAATGAATTGCCTTGCATCAACTCTTAGATAAACCTTAACGTCTTATTAGTAGTCTTTCCAGTGGAGAGTTGAAACAGTACACAAACCAGCCTTTCGTGAAATATCTGCATTACTGCAGAGATACCCTTGCGGAAGCAGGCTCAGGCTCCCTGCAATATGAGTTATCCTCTACGCAGCACAGTTCAGGCCTCTCATTCCCACTTTTCAGATGATGTATGTTCTATAACTAAGAAGTAGTAAGGAGTGGGAGGTTTGTTAATGAATGGAGATATAAGTAGTGACTACCATAAAATCACAGTAGAAAATAAAACTATTTCTGAGTGCAAGTAAACGGTAAAAAGTTTACCTCTAATAGGAGCTTAAACAAGAGTTTTTAATTTTGTTTTTGAAATGCATACATATGCACTCAAAGTTAGCAGTCATTAAGCCAGTTTGTAAAATCTACTTGCTATAAAAATATACACGAATTAAGCCCATTCAAATTGGGAACCCAAAATTAGTCATTTTTATTGCTGTAAACATGAGTAATCCTCATTCTGTGTCTGTATGCATGGTGTGTATTAAAAATAGTTTCCACTGTTGCTTTGATTATCCCCAACTGTGGTTTTAGAGAAATGAACGTTCTGCCTCTACTTCATTCTTGCTTTTTGTCTTACAGACTTTTTCCTCTCTCATTTTCCCTTCTAGGTTGGTTATTTATGGGCAGTACTGCAGTGGGGTGGAGTCAGCCATCTCCAGTTTAGACTACATCTCTAAGACAAAAGAAGATGTCAAACTCAAATTAGAGGTGCCTGTTTATTTTCTGTTTATTTATGACATAAAGTAAACCTAAAAGCAGCGTATTCCTCTTCTTGATCAATGCAACAGTACCTTTTCTCATGTATTCTAAATATAATTTCAGCAGTTTTATAAAATATTTTAATAGACGGGTCTATAAAATAATATTGTTGTAATAATAGCAGGAAAATCTAACATTTATGGCCCTGTATTTTACATACATTAGCTCGTTAGGTACTCCTGACTGTGAGATACGCAATTAATTTTCACATTTTATTGATGGGAATGCTGAGGTTCCAAGAGATTATGCCTAATTTGCCCAGGGTCACCTGAGTAGTAAGAGGTGCAGGACAAGATATATGCTAGATAATGCATATGTAGATTTAAAATGTTTATTAAAAATATAAGATGGGGCAGATGTACAAAAATGTCATGAACATCACTCACAAAAAGGAAGAGGAGACAAATGCTGATAGAAGATTAAGCAGTATGTGATAAGCACTGTATGCCAGGCCTCTATGGGTAAGATGGAGGAATCGCTTCGGTGTGGGTAGATGGTGGAAGATTTATAAGAAAAGGCAGCGATTGAGTTAGGTCACCGAAGAATGGGCTGAGCTTTGACAGATGAGATTCCATGGAGAGCATTCCAGAATTGCCAAGTCTTGACCAGAAGGGTCAGGAAAGTTTGAGAAATGACAAGTAGGCCAGGGGAAACTGAGCACATGGTCACAGTAGAAAATAAGTCTGGAAGCTTGTGGTTTTTTTTTTTTTTTAATCATCCCCTGCCCTCCCCCCAAAAGAGTTTATGTTTTCAAAGAACTTTTGAAAAATGATTATGTTATATGAACTATTTTTAATGTATTATTCATGTTTAGATTTTCTTAAATTTCAGGTGGAGATATATGGTCTACTTTTACATGATTATGTGGGCTTATTTGCCTCTTTAATGTCACCTTCCCCACTCTTTGTTCAGGTTGGCAGTGAGTCAGGTGATGAACAGGGGAACAAGAGGCAGATGATTTTCGCATCAGAATCTTCTTCACTGCTATGGCATATTTGGCATGATTTCATAACTCCCACAAAGAGAAAATAGTGCTTAGAAAGTTTGCACACTGGCGAGTCACCAAGTAACTATACTAAATCAATATGATAGATTTTTTTTTTTTAACCTCTTAGTATTCCTTGATGTTGTTGACCTTAAGGCTGGACACAGTTTGAATTACCACTAAATAACATCCTTACAACATTGTTAGTGCAAAGGGTTTCTGCTCCTCTGGCGAGTAGAGCCTCATAAATGTAGAGCTATAAGCCATCTCGACTCAAATTAAAATATCATGGTAAAGTAAAACTTCACAACTCATACAACTAGTTCCTGTTACAGCAACCATTAAATCTTTTTTTTTTTTTTTTTTTAAAGAATAAAGATATAAAATTACAGTTCAAGCAGGTTGTCAATCAAACCTTCATTATATTCCCAGCCTTGTCTGAATGTCGCTCTTCCTTCTTTCAGTGCTAATGTCAAAATTCTGCCCAGTGGACCATAATCTGGGACTCTGGGACTCTGCATAGTTCTGCAGTCACTATGGGTCTTAGGGAAAGAGAGGACCTCAGGCTGAGTTTGAAAGGCTCGGTGTGAGGTGCTGCTGTCTGTCTTTCCTCAGTTTAAAAGCCCAACTTCTGACCACAGGCCTGATTTGGAAGTATTTAATCAGATATCTCCTGTAACACTTTAACAAATACTCTGCTGGAACTGCCTGCTGCAAGTCCCAGCATGATGGAGGAAAAGCTGCCTTATTCTTGGTGTCCCTCTGCCTTCTTCGTGTCTTCTGTTTTGTGGTTATTTTTGTTCTTTTGATTTTTTGTCTTTTTCTTCTCTACCTTGGAACAGAGATAACATGGGATGAAGGGTGATAGAGTCCCTTTATCATGCCCCGTCAGCCTGGCTCATTCTACCACATTTTCTTTTCCTTTCAGTTATAATTGAACTTAAGCTAAGCAAATGGGTGTTTTGGAAGAATTATTTCTACTTTTATTTACTTTCATTCTAATAAGCATTTTACACCTCATTCTCCAACCCCCGTTTGTAACCTCCTTTCAGTGTCAAAAATGTTGGTTTCTCTACTTTCTGAGCATATAACTTAGGACTTACAGAAACTGTTTTCCCCCCCAAATTTTAAACTAATTTCCATAACATAGTGACTCATAAATGTATAACATTTATGTTCCTAGGAGTGTCTTGAGATGGCATAACATAAGAAGTATAAGCTATAACCTCAATTCCAAGGAGCTTAAAACGCAGCTGGGGAGAGAAGACCCACTCATTACAGTAGTATTAACACTTTAACCTCCTGTTGAGATGATCCAGAACTCTCTACAATCTGTAGAAGCAAGAAGTCAGTTGAAAATGTTATCCTTCTAAGGAACCTCAGTAATTGATAAGACACAAGCTAAAATGTCAGGATGTGTCCCCAGTATATTTTGCTTATGATCTGTAGTCAAACATGCTCATTTAGACACTATGGTCATTTGAGTTAATGGTGTTTGCTTTATACCTCCTGATAATAATATCTTTCAATGTGCCAGAAAAGCTAAATGTAGGCAAAAGGGAAACAAAGTTGTTAAGAAAAAGAGTAGTTTCTTAAGCACAATTTCCTCTCTGAACTGGAAAAGTTCTTGGTCTGGAATGTGCAGTTGGGTGAGGAGTTTGGACTTCTGAGGTTGCTCACTAATAAAAATGTTTCTATGGCATTTTATTGTTTTTAATGACACCACAGACATGTGAGAAATGGTAAAATCAGAAAAGTGACTTGCTCAAAGTCTTACAGCCGATGATTGCCAAACCTTGGCTTTAAACTCATGCTTTGACACTTCAAATTTAAAATATTTTCCTCAAAGTTATAGTTACTGTCAAAAGAGTGAACAAGTCAATACTATTTTTAATTAAACTTTTAAGAAAGAAGAGTGCGAGATTCAAAAAAAAAAAAATAAAATGTGAGGCTTTTAAAAACTTTGAATCTAGTAGTAGGTTGAGACTTTAGCAAACATTCTGTTTCATTCTGTTCAATAAATATTTATTAAGCAAATACTAGATTCTTAGAGGCATAAAGGACATAGTATGTTGGGGAAGACGTTATATACAACAATAATTAAAAGTTTGCAGAGAGAGAAAGAGAGAGCAAGCAGGCACTCTGTTTTTGATTGGAATCATTACTAAAGGCCTAGAACTTCTTCAACTTAAAATGATGCATTTTCCTGGAGGCTGGACAGAGCACATGGTAGTTAGAGAAAACTGAATAGACCAAGGCATGAGGGTGAGATGGCTTATGGCAGGTTTGATGAGTAGAAATGTGTTCTTGATGCCTGGCCCAGAAACCCACTGGGGGAGACTGGCAGAAGGTACAGCTATAAGGATAAGCTGAGGAGGACCTAGGGTCTTCCTATGATTTTGCACCAGAGAAAATAATTTTTATACGTAAAATAGTTCTATTTGATTCATATTTGGAGTTGAAATTGTACAAGATTTGTTTGCATTTTAACTGAAGACACTGTTTATTATTTAGAGAGAAGGTTTGTTAAGGAAAACAGCAGAATATTTATCGTATAATAACAGTTCTGCCTATGGCCTCTTTTCATCTTTTAGTGTTTATAACTCTCCTTGAGAAAACTAACAAAGTTTTTAAAAAACATTTCATTAGGAATGTTCCAAAAGAGCAAATAATGGGAAATTCACTCTTCGAGATTTGCTTGTGGTTCCTATGCAGCGTGTTTTAAAGTATCACCTTCTCCTCCAGGTATGTAACTTAAAACTGTTTATTTGTATATTGTTAATGTATTAAATCAACAAATATTAATGAAGCACCAACTGTGTGGCAGACACTCCCTGTTTTGGGCCCTGTCCCCTTAAAATTTTTAATTATTATTACAGCTAAGTGGGAAATAACAGAACAGCTGGGCATTTTTTTCCTTTTAGCAAAGATGATTCTGTATCTGCCACAAAGTCACATTTTGTGTCCTTCAAACATGACTGGATTAAAAAAAAATTTTAAATCAAGGCAAAACCAATGAGACTATTCCTTCAACCAAGTCTTCTATAGTTAGCAGTAATCGTTTATTATTAGCATATCAGCATTGTGATGCACCTGAATTTCGGCAGATTAATCACATTAGATCCTTTGCGTTATAACGGTAAGCTAAAGAGAATTGTGTCACATTTTATATTGCTTTCTACATACTAAATTATAATAAAACTACATTTATTTTGAAGTGATTCTTGTTATAACCCACAAAGCTTATGGTTTCCATGGTTAGTCCTTTAATGAGGGTAGAGAGTCTTATAAATTTAATTTGAAAGCTATACCAGGAGACTCATTAGTTCTGCTCCAAAGAAATGTCTTACTGTATTAGTCTATCATCTCTGCTGATGCTTGTGAAATGTCGTTTTTAGAAAATCTACTACCTGTATGTGAAATATAATGTTGAGTCTGCTGTGCTTTGTACATATTGTATTATTAGTCATGTCTATTTTTGTTCTACTGAGAAATCAGAAAAATTTAAACCCTGATTATTCCTTAAAAAATTTATGAAACTTAAACTCAAAGCAACTTAATCAAATTGGATTTTATGAAAAAATAATAGGAAGACTCAGGCAATCAGTTTTCAAGGCATCATGGAATTGAAAACATGTCCAAAATAAGATAATTTATTTTCTAACTTTGGTGTAGTCACATATTGATTGAAGAATTTAGAAGGTGCAGTTTTTAAGAAATATCTATTTGGGTATTATACAGATTTATAAAAGTATAAAATAGAACCATGCTTTTTTTGAAATTCAGTGAACTTTTTCCTCTAATTTCTCTTGGGTTGTTTTGTAATTTAAATCTCAGGAGTATGTTTAATTTCATGATATCTTTTGAAATAGGAAAAGTTTTATTTTGGGTACCACACATAAATAAAAATTCTGGAAATGTTTTTCCATTTCAAAATAGTATAGAGTAAAATTCTTTTGTCTTGTGTCTAGAAATTTGTTGAACAATGTGCTTATAAATTGGACTTTTTTTGCCTAACTACTATACTGTACTTTAGTGGGGAAATAACTTTTGAAATACAAATAACAAATTTATGAAATTGAGTATTTTACAATGGGGCTTAGAAACTTTAAGAATGATTTACTGTTTTTATTTAATAAAGTAAAAGTAAAAATAGAAATAAAAGAATAGTATTTTGACAGATTTATTATACTTAATAGATTTTCCATCTGTAGGTCCTGTTTAGAACAGGAAACACTACTGGTATTGAAATCATTAAAGATTTTTGAGTGGCTTTCCTATGCCAAACACAGTATCGGGCAGTTATGATATAAGACAGGCCCTACACTGACAAAGCTCACCATTTACAAGGGAAAAATGAAATGTAAGCTTCCTGGGGCCGGCCCGGTGGCGCACTGCTACAGTGCGCCGCTTGGGAGCGTGGTGGCGCTCCCGCCGAGGGTTCGGATCCCACATACAGACCGGCCGCTCACTGGCTGAGCGAGGTGCGGGCGCAACACTGAGGGTTGTGATCCCGTTGCCGGTCCCGGTCCGGTACGGGCGCGACACTGAGGGTTGCGATCTGTTGCCGGTCACGAGAAAAGACAAAAAGGAAAAAAAAAAAAAAAAAGAAATATAAGCTTCCAAATATAACACAATGTGATAAGTACGCAGAAGGTGCAAAGGTGGCAGAAATGAAGGCCTGAATAACTATGCCTAAGAAGGCTGGGGACCTGAGTAGAGGCCTCTGTCATATCAGCCTTCCCAGAGAAGTGATTGTTGAGTTGGGTTTGAAGGAATAGTAAGAGTTTGGCAGGTGGATCAGAGAGGAAGAGCTTTTTAAGGAGAGAAAGTAACATTTCTAATGGGATTAGCTATCAGAACATATTTTGAGAATTGCAATTAATTTAGTATTACTGGAATATGGGTTGTTTGGGTGGAAGTGAAGAGAGAGAAATTGAGAGAGGTTTGCAGAATTCAGATCATGAGTCTGAGTAACACGTGTAGGGGACAACCCAAAGCTTTTGTGGGGCATCGCAGAAGTCTTAAGTAGAGTAAAGATAGGACCTAACTTCCATTTTAGAAACCTAACTCCTATGTCAATAGAGTGAATAGATGATAATGAGGGAAGTCTACAAGTCAAAAGACCAATCAGAAGCCCATTATAATAACATGTTTGAAAAGGGTAAGGACCTGATACTAACTAGTACCAGGGTCAGGATCAAAGATAGCATCAACAGAACACAGTGAGGGAGAAGGGAGGGGGAGGGTCTGGGACACCTTTTAGGTGTCGGGCATCAGAGATAACTCTAATGTAATGATGAAGTGTCATCATTTAGTAAAACAAACAGGAACAAAAATAGGGTCCTGGGTGAAGATGGATTAAGTTTTGGGCGTGTTGGATGTGAGAGGCCTATGAGATATCCAGGTAGAACTATTTAGTTGGATGTATGAGTCTGGGACTTGGGCGTGAGTTCTGGGTTAAGCACATGTACTTGAGAGTGATTGCCCATTAGGTGATAGTTGACATGACAGTGGTTGTGATAAACTTTTTAAATATGTAAAATAAGAATAAAAGAGGACTAGGGTGAACATCTAGTGGATAATAGCTTTCTGAGTTGCAGATAAAAAAGAAACTGTGAAAGAATGAGGAATAGGCAGAAATTTAGGATAGACAAACAACAGCAGCAGCAGCAATAACAACAATGAACAGGACACCCTGATGCACCTGAAACGAAAGGAGAGAGATGGTCATCAGAACCAAAAGCTGTGGAGAAACCACGTGTGATCAATTCAGTTAGCAATTAGGGAGGGCATCTTTCGTAGCATTTGGGAAGCAGTGTCAGGGAAATGTGAGGGATGGAATTCAGATTCATCTTTGAAAGGAAAATGTTTCCAAGTGCACCTCATGTTCTTTTAGTGTCTAGTTGATCTTGGTCTTCTTAACAGTTTGAAATTTTTGATGAAAATAGAGTCTAGTTACATTAGGTTTATCACATTGTGGAGAGAATAATGATAATACTGATTTATTTTTTAAAATGTTTTCTTTCTTATGTCTTTGTTTTAATTTTGCGAAAAAGTAATATTAAACTGTATATTCCAAATAGGAACTGGTCAAACATACCACTGATCCTATCGAGAAGGCAAATCTGAAACTGGCTCTTGATGCAATGAAGGTGAGGCAAATATATCAGTCACTTATTTGTATTTTTATTTCTTGCCTAAAACCAATATAATTCAAACTCTGCTAATATGTATATGATATGCTAATATATTATAATACATATTTGTTTTTGGTGGGGAGAGCTAAATATTTTTTACAGAAGTAGATATCCTTGTATGGATTTAATTGTTAGATTAAAAACACATAAAACCAAGAGGCGTATTAAAATAACTTGTACAGCTATGACAGCTTTCATAACCACTAGGAATGATTTAACATGATGGTTTTATTTCACATTGTTTTTATGGTTACCAATAAAAAACTGTTGGCTTGTGTAAGCGGTAGGTCATCTGGTGACTTCAGAACACTGGTGTGACTTATTTTCCTCATAGGAGGATATCTGCCAGGGTCATGCTTGTGGATGCTGTGCATCGATACAAATTAATTTCAGTTTGGGTTTCTATTTCCAGGTAAATCTGCAAATCAAGAACCACAAGTAGATAAAGACAGGTGTTTTGAACATATTGAGGACTATGTAAAATCCCAATTTCCACAGTAGGCTAAATAAAAATGACTTTAAAAGAAATAATATTTTGCCATAACTTAAACATAAGCAAATATTTGTTTTTAGAAACAAAATGGCAATGTGACCCTACTCAGTGCAATGCATACTTACTTATGTTCCTGCACCAATTTCAGTGTCAGTTTTGCTGTTCAGTGGATTTTAGTACCACTATCAGGAAATATCACACAATTATTATTATAAGAAAAAGTCCTACCAAGTTTCCAGTTTTCAAAGAAGTCATTTATGGGTACATCCTAGGAAAGGTCAGACTTCCTTTTAGAACAAAGTAGGAACTGCTTTTTTCAGAATTCTGTTCCTACCGTTGCAGATGAATTTAAGAGGGTAGAGAGAAAAGAAAAAGAGCTCAGAGAACAGGAAAATCTGGAGCACATGTAATAAAAATAGCCAGTTACAGTATGGAAAGATTAGCTAATGTTTCCTCAAATATGAGAAAAGATATTTTAAAATAGGTGAAGGCACATGGAGAAACATGGCCAGCATTTTTTGTTCACTTCAATTCATTTTTTGTACTGTGAAGTTACTCACCTCTCCTTTGTTTCTCCTTTATTAATTCTTTAAAATTGATCCGGTATGCACTGGCCAGTTAGCTCAGTTGGCTAGAACATTGGTGCTGACAAAATTGAACTTGCTTTCTTGACTGAACACTATCAGGACTAAGATGACATGAACTGGCTGCAGAAAACAGCCTTGCTAGATTCATCATCTAACTTTTAGTTACTTTTTTCCCTGCTAATCCTTTGTTACTCCCCTTATTCTAACCTGTGTGAAGATATAATTCTCTCAAGGTCAGTTGTTAATGTGCTTGGAATTTACATTCTTCTGACCTAGTTTCCTTTTGTTCCTCTGCATAGCAGCATATTTTGTTTTTGTTTCTTAGGGCAACAACATCCTTACTCTTTTCAGGGGTGTGGTTAACGACAACTCTTCAGTCTTCCCAGCTGTATTCCAGACATTTTTAAATTGCCTTTGAGCTACAGCTTTAAGGCAACAACATCCTTACTCTTTTCAGGGGTGTGGTTAATGACAACTCTTCAGTCTTCCCAGCTGTATTCCAGACATTTTTAAATTGCCTTTGAGCTACAGCTTTGATTGACTGGGCATTCATTTTATTGTCATTGAAACGTTGTGGTGGTTACTTTTATCACTAATGGAATTAATGATGTGTTTTCTTTCAAAGCAGTTCACATCTCTTCTCTAATCTTAGTGTGCCTTCTTTTTGTACCCTTTTCTTTATTCTTTAGGACTTGGCACAATATGTGAATGAAGTGAAAAGAGATAATGAGACCCTTCGTGAAATTAAGCAGTTTCAGCTATCTATAGAAAATTTGGTATGTAATTATCCTTCCTTCCAGCTTCCCCTCACCCCCAAATTGGGGGACATTCTAGGAGTTATTGTTGAAGAAAAAATAGTTTACCTTCAAGTTTCTGTTGTTCGAGGTTTTTTCCGTCTTCTGTTTTGCAGCATTCACATGGACATCTGGTGGCACCTTGGACTGGTTGTTGTCCAGGGACTTTCTGCCATCACTGTCCATCTCACCTTCATCACACTTGGCCTCTTTTTCCAGCAATCTCAATTCTAACTATTGCAGTGCATTTTTTTCTTTTCTCTCCCTCACCCCATACATACTCGCTGTTGATTCCTGTTTATTCATTCATTTTACATATATGTACTGGGTGACCACTATGTGCCAGACACTTTGCTTGGAGCTGGGACTATAACTGTGAACAAGAGGGTCTCATGATTGAGGAGATAGTGAAAAGCGAGTTTAAAAATGCCATATTGAGATTAGTTTCGTGAACTGGGTGCTGTAACAGAGTATAATAAGGGGAGACCTAGTTTAGATAAGATGGTCAGAAAATGGCCTTTTGAGTCATTTGTCATTTGAACTGGGACCTGAAAGCTAAGAAGAAGCCAGCCACACAAAGACTTGGGGGTAGAGCAATGTAGGCCGAAGCTATATAGCAAGTGAAAAGCCCAGAGCTGAGCAAGAGTCAGGTGTGTTCAACAAGCTTAAAGGTGAGAATGGCTGGCGATAGAGTGAGAGAAAGCATGGTGGGCTCTGAGGTGTGAGGGGTGGGCAGGAAAACTGCACAGTGCAGCTGCGTGGGCCAAGCGCTGAGTTGGGAAGCTTGTGAAAGGTACCTGTCAGGGAGTGTCACAGTCTGATCTACGTTTCAAGACCTTTAAGTAGGCAGACCACTCATCAAGCTGTTGAAGTGGTTTCAAGAGAGATGGAGGCCTGGATTAACATGTGGGCAGTGCAAATAGAGACGAGTGGATTTAAGACACTTTTGGGAGCAAGTTCATTGCTTCTTTCTGTGAAACATCTTGAGTCTGTCTCTTTCTTTTCACATATACAGCCACTTCCCCATTTCAGGACAGCATCATCTGGCACCTTTTTAATCATGGTAGCCTCTAATCATCTCTTCATGCAGTTGCAGTTCGAAAATGTGGATTTCTTAACTCACTCTCTTTCCCAATCGTGTCAAGATTTTTTGTTGCTTTCGAGATTCAGTCAGCATTCCTTACGATCATATCTAAGGCCCTCAATGAAGTGGACTTAAATTATTTTGCTGAATTCATCCGGCTAATAACTACTCACATAATTTAAATTGTGATATTTTGCTGTATTATGAGGTGTCCGATTTGCTACACATTTTTATAATTCTGCCTTTGATCATAATCAGAGCCTAGAATGTTTTTTCCCATTATTCCCTATCTAATTCCTTCAAGATCCAACTAAAATAAATCCCTTAATCTCCCATCATTCTTTCCTCCCTGAAATTCCACAGCATATTGCCTGGACAGCTGTGTAGCATTTAAAAAAAAATTGTGGTAAGGTATACATAACATTAAATTTGCCAAGCATTTTAAAATGTACAGTTCAGTGACATTAAGAACATTCACAGTGTTGTGCGACCATCGTCACCATCTCCAGAACTGTTTTCATCTTGCAAAACTGAAACTGTGTGCTCATTAAACATGAATTCCCCATTTTCCTCTTCCCCCAGTCCCTGGTAACCACCATTCTATTTTCTGTCTCTGTGAATTTGACCACTCTGGGTACCTCATATAAATGGAATCATACAATATTTGTCCTTTTGTGACTGACTGACTTCACTTAGCATAATGTCTGCAAGCTTCATCCATGCTGTAG